CTGTCTCCCTCCAGTCTTGCGACCCCTCGTAGGTCGCTGGCTAGCTATCCTCTCTAGAGCACTAACCAGCCCCATTGTAGTGTCTGTGCACTACAGCGAGCCTCCCTCCCTTAGGGACTAGGAGGCGAGCTCCCAGGAGGGAGCGAAACAGACAGACAGATTTGAGAAACTCATGAATTTGTATTCATATTTGCAAAGGCTATAGTTTCTAGAAAATGGACTTGCGTAGGGTGCAGTCTATAGGCCCTGCCCAAGGGACAGAAAGCACGTAGTCGCAGCTGCGGGCGCAGTGCACTACAGTTGCGGTACCGCAGAACTGCAGAACGTGGAGAACCTGCAACGCACGTGGTGGAAATCACCAAAGCCAGAAACTCGCCTCTAGCACTGCTTCCAGAATTTGTCCACATTTTTTTGTTTAACATGAATAATATCAAATGTCGAGGTGAAGGAGAAAAGAATCTCGTCAATAACAAGCCCAGCTACTCGAGGCGGGCCCACCGACGTCCCCATACTGCGCATTTGTCCAGTGTCCAAGGGGAAATAACGCCCATCAATCCCTTTCAGATCTCACTCCTTGTTCCGGTTTTCAGACACTACTTGATGAGCCCTTCTTTGTTGGCGAATGGCGATCGCCTGAAGTGTAGCGCGGTGCCATATGAAAATTCGGGCGTTGTGGCGATTCTTGTCCTCTGATACAGTAATAGGAGTGGGCACACAACTAATGCAGACGGCGTTAATCAGTTGCGTTTCAACATATAACGTTTTGTGCGTTGGATATGTGGTGGGTGGCGTAGATCTTTATCTTTAGCTGTCTATGCAGCACCACAGATGTAGTGCCGGGCACTACAATTGACCTTCGTCGCTACACCCGAGACTTACTAACGCGAAAAGCATGAATAATATTGAATATCTTAGGGCATAAGGCACCGTAGGATAGTGGAAAATCATAAGAGAGAACAATGGGCTCGCTAGCCTGCACGGGGTGCGAGGTTGGTGCCGCGACGCGACTCGGGCACTGACCCTCGGCGAAGGTCAGCTCTCAGTTCTATTATTCTGGGTTTTCTCACCTCATAATAATATGAACTCAATTGTACGAGGTTAATCAAGGTATTCCATAGTTGTTGACTATAGTCAGGTACCTTTGACCGACTGTGCCGAGTGACCGCCGAGTCGGACTTGCCAAGGGATATTACGTAGTAACAGTGTAGACAGCTGTTCACTACATTTGGGGGCTGTTCCGGGATTTAAAAACAATCTGGGCAGCATTTCGAGCTTGCTAACAAGGGAAGACCCTCCCCCTTAAAGCCCGAAGGGACCAACACACCTCAGTGGGGACGGAGGGGGACATGCATCTACGCAACGGGAAAGTGGTACAGCCTCCGCCTGAACCGAACGCAGAAATGCAGAATATAGATGAGCCAAACGACGATTCCGCGGATTACCCAATGGAAACGCCGCGAACAGAACCCGATCGCTGCGTCAGCCCACCCACCGCGGGGGTGGCTCGATCGGCACCGAGAGTCTGCGACCGCGACGTTCGAGGGCGCAAGGAACCCGTAGTGGATCAAGCTTGGGCGGATCCGGTTCTGCCCGAGTTCTTTCGGGAACTTGCCTCTCAGATGGCACGGGGGGTAGTACAGGCGTGCCACAGGTCCATCGGATACGAGGACGGCAAGAACATGAAGGATTTCCTCGACCTAGCGGAGTTAGATTTCACTGAAAGAGGGCTAGAAGAACGGCTGTGGGGAGAAGAACTCAAAAAATATCTGAGGGGAGACGCCTTGAGATACTGGTTGTATCTGCGTCGCACTGGAGAATCCCTAACTGATTGGGAGCAACTGAGACAGCGATTCTGCGAGCACTTCTGTAGTATAACTCTGGAACGGATGAAAGTCATGCTAGCTAAGAATGTATGGAGGGGCGACCACCACGCATACTCTGCGTGCTTTGCGGACATCGTGGCTCAAGGGGTGATGGTGGCCCCAGATCTGTTGGTGGGTTACTACCTGGCCAACCTGCCAGATGAAATACTCCGAGAGGTAACTCAAGGGGGAACAAGGAGATTCGCAGACTGGCAGGAAGCCGCCGCAGCACTGGCTACCACGGTGGCACCATGGAAGGATTTGCGCGAAGACTGCCACCGATTCCGGCGAGACTTAGAGGACGCCACGCGTAGATGGGTTAAAGGCGGGCGAGAGCCGGGCCTACTACGCGAACGAGAGAACAGAGACGACAGAAGCAATGATACTACGGACTCACGCTGCTACGCGTGCAGCGGAAGGGGACATGCGAGCAGGGACTGTCCGCTCCGTAACGGAGCGACGCGACGGATCGGGGAAGTGTGCTCCCGGTGTGGAGGCCGGGATCACTACGCTAGAGATTGTCCTACGTCGGCTCGACCGGGAGCAGAGCCAATCCGGCCGCCCAGACAGCAGCCAATGCGGCCCAACATCGACCCCCCTGAGACCCATTCTGGGTCTCTTGCAGTTCTCGGGCCTGGGACTGACCCTCCCGAACCATCGCACAGGACCCGGGGACCGCATCCTGACTGCCGCGAACTGGCCGGCCTCCGCCGACGTGCCTCTCGGAAACGCACTCCTTCACCCCCGGTTCCACCCCCGTCCATTACGCCCGACCCCGCCCCCGAATCTCCCACGCCGACAGACCCAAGACCTACGCCCAGTCCTCCCGTCCTCGACTGGCCGGCAGCGTATTCTAAGTGCCCGGTGTTCAGCGCGCCCTATAACACTGCCTCTACCAAGCAGGGTGCAGTTGTTCAACTGGAGTTCCAACATCGTCGTCACACCTTCCGTTTTGTCCTGCCCTATTTACATATATGCGTTAATGGTCTCTGGCGTATCTGCGTGCCGCAGTTTCCAGAGTTCCTCACTCACGTCCTGTACACGCACCATGATCACGTCACCGCCGGGCATCGAGGCCAAAAGAAGACCTACAAGGCCCTCAGCAAGCGTTACTATTGGCCTGGCATGCGTACTTACACCAACGCGTACGTGAAGTCCTGCACGCAGTGTCGCGCATCCAAATCACTTAATCAAAAACCCGCCGGCCTCTTACAACAGCTGCTTATTCCCTCGCGCAGGTGGAGCCATGTTAGCCTAGGTTTCGTCACCGACTTACCCCTCACCACCTCTGGGCACGACGCTATTCTGGTTGTCGTCGATTCTCTCAGCAAGATGGCACACTTTATTCCGGCCAAGAAGTCCCACTCAGCCGCCGACACTGTAGAGCTC